ATGCAAGTCGTAGGTGCGGCTACGGCACTCAGACAACTACAACCTGGAGCTGAAAACAAAGCCCAGCAAATTTTCCGTCTCGACTTTTATTCTGGACCTCACCCTAACGCTAAACTTCGATACGTTTTCTAATACAGAAACTGGGGTCTGACTAGAAAGCGGAGAGGCCAGCAGGTAAGTGCCTAACCGCTGCAATCATAGTTACCATTCGATTCAACGGGATTGGCTGCTTGAAGCCGAGGTTCCGGGGTTTCTAATCAAGGCTAGGGAATGAGCAAAGTCCGCTCGTATATTGTCAGATCCAAATGAGAAAGTTGCGGAAGCTGGGAAACTTCCGCAAACTTTTACCTGCAGTAATATTTTTGAAGTAAGCAGTCAGTTAGGTACCTTAATTTCACGCGTACAAGGCGCGGGGGATTTTCTCCCAAAATGGACCAGCTCAAATACGTCCAAGAACTTCGCAACCAAAGGACCCTATGCCTTGCTGTATACTGCTTAAGAGAATCGTACGGGATAAGGATCGCTTTCCGAAATAATTTAGAGCGGCTGAGAGGCTTAGTCGAAAAATCGCAAAAGGTGCGCCTTGTACGCGTGAAATTAGGGTAATTGGTAATCTCGCAACCCGTCATAGTTTTACAATATTTGCTCACTACGAAAGTCGTCCATAATTTGCATCACTTCTAAAGAGCTTTAAAGAAGTGCTTGTGAAGCGGCCAACTTTGGGATGTAGATGAAAGATACAGCACGAAAGTTGATTACATGTTTGTCTTCCTTCTTCTACGAGGGAAGTGGGTAGTGTGCCTTTTTGTGAATACTTGGCACGATACCTAAGAACCTATCAGTGAGATTGTTTACCCTATTTAATATTTTCTACCTGTCGAACAGCGTTTATTGCGCTAGAGTATTGAAATTTATGATCAGTTGATCTTTTTTAGTAAAGCTTTTGTATTTTTCTTCCCAGAATGATATATGACTTTTGAGCGCAAATGTAGTTGATGGAATCGTAACTACCGTTTCACGCAACATTTGTCCATGCATTCAATCAAACTGGCCGCTTTAACAGAGTAGTTATTTAAAGCAAAGAAAAGTGAATATATGGGGCTTACCTTGCCAGAAGGACGCAGTCTTTGGGTCTTTTAGCACTGCCATTGCTTACAGTGCGAATATCCATAAACTTAAATCAGCTTTATGCAGAAAATGGTACCATCTCAACTTGCGAACTAAGCCTGTAATGCACAAAATGAAATCCCCTTTAAGGTTAGACCAATCTTCGCAGCAGGTGCTGCGTAAACGATGTCGAAAACCTCCGTTTGGCGGAAGTCCGTGTCGCGAGCGTATTGCGTCACGTTTACGGCTAGCTAGTCCGCTTTCTCCTCAACCTCTTCGCTCTCTGCGACAACGCGCCTATGCAGCGCAAAACTCTAGCGCTTTGAGTACGCAAATTCAGACGACGGACCGACCTGATCCCGAATGGGGCAGACTGTACGTCTGACCCAACCTTTACTGATGGTTTGATTGTCATATGGCAACCTATGGGAACGGCCATAGGTTGCCGGCAGCGGCTGCCGAAATTGCTGGGGTTGCCGGCCTTGCCGAGATCAGAGACAGCTCAGCGAGCGCGTGAAATGTGGAGGCTATCATGAGGTCCTACAAAGACCGGCAACGCCGGCAACCTCGGCAACGCCGACAACCTCGACAACGCCGACAACCGTTGCCGGAAACCTATGGCCGTTCTCTTGAAGGGAGTGGATCGGCAAATTTTAACAACGCAGGATTTTAACGTAGTATCCTTATCGCTCAAGTATGAAAACAGTGCAATCCCGGTTGAACAGCAGGCTTCCCCTACCAAGAAAACTGCTCTCAAACTTACACGCGCAAGCCAATCTTACACGCGCCCGGACGAGTTGATAATTTCCTTCCCACCATTGAAGGCTGCCCGCCGCAATGCTATAACCTTTGGGTCCTGCAACGATTCAGCGTCATCAGCCTTGCTCCACTCGTCCAAATTCAAAGGGGAGGGCATTCAAAAACGCATGTTTTCGCCGTTTTCAAGCTCCCTAAGGTGGATTTTCGGAATGAGTGTATTGAATAACTCCAGGTACGCAAAAATTTGACTAGGTTGCGATTTGCCGAGCCACTGCCTTTAACCCATTCAACCCTGCCACATTGTGGACCAGTGGACAATGTGACCACCGGTGACCCACACCTCTTGCAAAGTCATGTTATTTGTAGAACTGGTATTTCTTCCACTATTGTTTTTTCCAGTTTTTTGCACTCTATAGGCTCCCTCGTTTAAATAAATGTTTATAGCTGTTAACAAAAAGTTGTTTATAGTTGTTTACAAAAAAATCTCACATTTCGTAAATAACCAACAAACTTTCCCACACCGAAAGTGCATTCACGAAGCGCATCATGATGTCATTGTCTGAACACTCAGCAGTTTTCCTTTGGTAATTCTCTGGTCTATTTCACTGTTGATGCCCTACATTCACAGCAATTTGGTTTGGTTCTGCATTGCTTATTGTCATCGTGTCACCAGTGCCATTGTGCATCATGTTTGAAACATGCTTTTTTCATATGCTGTCATTGCTGTTATTTAGTGACTATTCGTTGCAAGCGCTATAAGGCCTAGGTGAGGATTCATGTATGGGTTATAAACCTAGACTAGGTTTTTCAGTTTAACGATGTCGATCAATCTAAAAAAGTTCAATGTTTTTTTTTGACTCAAAGAGGCTCTCCAAACTGCAGATAGCACGTGTCTACGTATGTTGCTGTTCATACAAATACAGCCCATATAGCTTTATGACATGGAAATTTTGCTTGCGATGGACTTTGCAGCACTTTCTCGTTGACCTAATGTCGTATTCTCTTATTGCTTAGGAGGTAAAAAAGAGTTGCTTGTTGGCAAGCTTCAGCTTATGTTTTGGTTATCTATTATACTGTGCTGGATTTAATCAAGGCATGATTATGTTTTTGGTGAAAACCAATGTCTCGATGACGATAGTGGAGTCGTTGGAATAGTTTATTGAAACGAACCCCGGTGTTGAACCGGGGGAAGCAACCTATAATACAATCGGGGCTCCTTATATAGGTAAGTAAGGGGCGGAGATGACCCGTGCACAATCAGACTGTCCAGGAAATATATGCCAGAAAGAGGATGCCGCGGCTTGGCGCGGCCCCTGGAAGATAGCCACTCACAGGTGAGTGATTCGGCACTTAAATATAAACGGTTGGGGAATATAGCCTATGGGGAATACCCGTAAGCTATTAGGATTATAGAATAGTCGGGGTTGATGATACATAAATCATCTCCAATGTTTGCCCATCATGTAACCTTTCTTTACTCGTTTTGCCTTGCCTGCTATACCATGCATTTGCGGGATCGTACTTCTAGCTGCTGTCTTCAATCTCAAATCAACCAACCTGTTTATTTGTGATGTGGCCACCATTCCCAAACTCCATTAATTGTAACTTTTGGAATGGCTATTTATGATTTTCAGTTTCAGTGTACTTTTTTCACCAGACGCATCATCATGTTCCTACTTGTCAATGATTTGCTAACTCTGATATTGTCAAGAACGAAAACCGGCTAGCGGAGCGTGAGAACGCAATGTTGATTATTGGAATTTTTTGATCTACCGCTCGACCTATATATAGCGCCGCTCGTCCGCTTGAGTCAGTTGTTATTCTTCGTGTTGATAATTCTATCTTTTTTATTTCCGCCTTCTCTCCTCCGCACGGTGATCGCGCTTTAGCAGCTTCAGCATGCGCTGTAATATAAGCTTCCGTACTGCAAACAAAGTTCTCTTTGCAGCTGCCTCTATCTCTTTTTCATCAAACTTTGGAAATCACATCAACACTTTAGCTGCAAGCGCCAAGAGCAGTCAGCCAAATGATATATTAGGTTGGCACATAAGTAATGCAACTTTTTGTATAACGTTTGTCTATTTGAACATAGCGCATTTATTTTTTGGCAATATAAGGAATATGATGTAAGCTTCTAATGCACACATTTTTGCCGAATTTCACCACCTTATGTGAGGATTACGGTAGGTTTACGGTACTATGGGAAAATTTTTAGAATGCATCAGATTTTGCTGAAACTTGGCTCATAGGACTTATTTGACATGCTGATCACAAAAATGAGATCCGTTTCGCATCAAAAGGCCTCGTTCGTGAGATCAAAAGTTGAATTTCATTTTAGCGACAAATGAATATGATATTCATGTTTACCGCATAGGATTACCCTGTAGTGCAAAGTTATAGCGACTTCTGACTTTTCGCAGCTTAGTTATTGACAAATTGCCTTCAAAACTTGACGCATTTGACTTGTTCAACTTCTCAAAGGCGCCCCACCTTAATTTGTGTTCAAATTTCGTTTCTTTTTCACTGATTCCAATGTGCCAACTTCCAGCTACATGCTGCCCATAATTGCTTTCTCATATGTTTGAATCAGGTTTCGTAGGGCTTCATGTTTGCCAAAAAACCGTGAAACCTCAATTTTCAGCAGTTTTCAAAAAAAGCTTAGATTTTTTGTACTACGTTATCAAAAATCAAACGGTTTGAGCAGACTTGCAGCTTACATCACGATCTACATGATGCCACAAAATGAGATTGCTATATTAAATAGGAAAAAAGTTACGGGAAAAGTTGCAAAACTTATGTGCCAACCTAATATGTCTGGAGAGGGTATGGATGCTACCTATCTCCTTACAGCTCCGCAGCCGAAAAGTAAAGAATATGAAAAAGTTAGAAGGATTCAGAAATGACATTTAAAGGGCAGGAAACAAAATGAAGAGCCGAAATAATTAGGAAATCAAAGCTTAGTTGAGAATTTGGTTGGTAGGTTGTACTCATTAAAACTAGCATAGGTGTGTTCCTAACTTTATAAAAAAAATAGGTTTTTAGCTCGAATGTTGATGGCTGCAAATAAGAAAAGTTGACTTTATGCTTGAATGTTTTGGTGTGTTGAAAAGGTAACTCAAGACAAAGTCATTAAAGCTTTATCTATAATATACATCATCTGAGATCACAAACGCGGTAATCGGCACTTACAGAAGTGAAAACATAATAATGCACAACAATGATCAATTCATAAGTGCAACACTCATCACCGGTAACGAAGTGAGCTTTGAAAGTTTGTTGAATAGAAATTTTGATATCAAAGAAGCATAGTAGTTAATGCGAGACGCATGCACGTTAGATCAATGGATCTACTTGCAGCGTAAAACAATGGTTGGAGGTTATGGAATATGGACTATAAGTGTTGACTAGAGAAGCTTCAGTAGTACGCAACGGCAGTTAAAGCGTTATCACAATACTATAGCAAAATATGAAAGCTCATGTTTTGTAGAAGATGGCAGGTCGGATTACAACAAGTCTGAGATACAATATTCCGTTAAAATCCCCTATTTTGAATTACAAACTCATATTTGGCACAAACTCAGGCATCGCATACGCTGCTGAAGCAACCAATCATATGTTTGCTAAACTTCCAGACTTCTTGTATAGGGCGAAGTTGAGTCAGGACTGTATTTCATAGTTGTTTCATCTATTCTTCGCTGATAGATTCTGGGCTGCTCGACATCAGCAGAATCTAAAAGTGAAAAATCTATCAAAAGATTGATGACGCCATACTGATATGTCGATCGTTCACGTCTTAGTTGAAGAAATAAACATTTTTGCTTGTTTATTAGAAAAAAAAACGAGAAATGCTGCAGACACTCGTCAGTCACGTTGCGGACTGCGGGTCGATCACCCGCTATAGAATCAAATGGTCTTAATGCAAAAACTACTTGAAACGGGGATTGGTAGAAGACATGACATTGTTAATTGGTTCCGCAGCACAAATACAACTAGCCAAGCAAACGGGAGCATGATGCGATCGCGAAGTAGTGTGATACTGTCATAACATGCTCCGTAGATACTAACCTCGTCGCATAGGCAGCCCAACTCGTCGCGGTTCGTGCTCCATTGGAATGGACACTTGATTCCGAATTGTGGTTACGGGAGGTGTGTAGTGAGAATTTTGACTATAAGGTGTGTAAGGAGTAATCCCCATGTGGGTATTTTTGTCGTATCGTTGGTCATCCCTCATTGAAATCAACGCACCGTCCGTTCCTAAAAAATGTTAATGTGCCGCATATCAGTACAAAGAAAAACCGCAACTGTTAGCGAAGTTACTCCCATTTCCCCTCCTTTTCCCCTCACAGATAAAAAGATCCCAAAGAAAGCACCTATCTCCGAAAGCACTGTTTACAGTTGTGCTTAGATCAACCACGAATGGTCTCAAATTTCAGTATCCCTTCAGATGAACACAATGGTTACACCGAGCCAGTCAAATACACTGTTTACTCACCATCTTTGCTTTTCACTATCCGTACGATTGCATGGACTTTCGTTATCAGATTCAATATCAGTACAACTGATAGTAGTATGAAGACAACGATTAGAGTGATGAACAACAGGTAGAAAACCCAAGAGTTTGGTACCTGAAATGGTATGAGAAATAGGATGCTAGCTTTGAATGTTTTCTGTTATGATATAGGATCACAATAAGATAAGCGCGGAAATTTCTCTTTAGATGCAAGGTATCCAGTGTTGGGCCGTCTTTTAGCAAACGCTTCTACATATCTTACTGGTTATAATTTCTAGTGTATTATGCACTCCCCTTGGAAGCGTTCGAAAAACGCCTTAAGAAGGACCAAAATAATGTTAGCTTTTTTGATTCTCTGAACACTATTCGTTCCCATCTAAGGGATCCCTTCTAACCTTCGCGAAGCAAAGAAAGACAGCTGCGAATTTTCCAAACATGCTGAGCTTGAAACTCACTAAACATGTTTCGTAATCTCTAAGAATAGATTTTCCTTAATAGGGGAAGATTTACCGCATGCCAAATCGCTGACCAGAATTACTTACGATATCGTTTTTAAACATGAGAATAACCTTTTTGCACATATTTTACAAAAGCTCAAATTATAACATCAAGTTTTGATGTGAATAATGCACTGCGCATTTACATGCAAATAATCGTACAAAAGTATAATTATTCTGGAATAATAATAGTGGAAAATTGACTAGAATATGTATAACAGCTTTATATTCATGTACGTTGTAAAGTACATTACCTGTGATACGGAGTCTCCAACTTGATACGTGACCGAACCAGCATCTTTTGCTATATTCGCCACAGCCTTAAGCAATTAGTCTTCGGAGGCTCACCATCAAAACTGTGTAATCATGTACCTGATCGAAATTATCCAATGTGAGATTAATCCTACTCGTAATACCATTTATTTGTCCGTTAATATGTGCAACTAATGTGCTGAGTTGTGCTAATGTGCCGCTAAGTTCGTTTATCGTTTGGTCTACGGACATACCTGCCTGATGGGGTTATTGTAGCGATACGATAGGAGAGACAGATGCGATAGCAAAAAAGGTTTCAAATTCAGCAGATAAAGGGAGATGTATAATGAAGTAATGAAGTCGACAGCAAATAACTGAACAGCAGGGCAGGCTAGAATCAATCAATAATTGATTGCCCATGTTGGCAATGGCTAGTTTGAGAACTGTACCGTAAGAGTACGGTATCTAGGGATTATGCGACGGCAGAGATATCTCAAGCTTAACAGAAAAATAGACGCAATGCAAAGTAAAAGAGGAAATATCGAACTCAGGGTTGAGCTACAGAACTGATAAAAAAACAATCGATATCGATTGTATGATAATAAGGGTTGTTGCAATAAAAGAAGCCTTTAGTTTGGCGGTAGACAGATGATGTGACTCCAAGCTTCAGCAGATGGGAAATCGATGATTAAGCTGCAGATTAGATTGAAATCCGTCGATAATTGATCGTCTTATGATTAGACCCACTATCTCGCCACAAATTGATGGAAGCTGTGGTGGTTGTATCGTAAATTGATTTGATTGCAGAAGCATGCAAGATGCGCTTTTACGACTTCGTATTCCTTTACTGACCAAGTGCCACTGATACAGTAGCTGTGGGACGGGGTGGGAGGAGGGGGGTGGACGTCCTACAAAGCCTTGGCGTCTAACAAGGGAAGTTCGCCGAATCGAAGTGGCCGATTGACATGTGGTGTATACCCGGGCTCGGGGCTCGGGAGGTTAGTATCAAATGTGCACCCATTAGCTGCGACGCGTTATTGTGAAGTAAATTATGGGCCTCTGAAGTTTTTTTCCTGTGCATGTGTAGCGAACGCATAAACACTCCAATCGTGGTCGTGTGGTGTAGTGGATAGTGTCTCGGACTCACAGGTGACCGGTGAGGGTTCGAATCCTGTTGCTGTCCCGTAAGAACCTCGGAAGCTTAGAAGAGGCATCCTTTTCTACCCATAAAAATGAATCGTACAAAATCTTTCGTCCACTATGACAACCGGACCCTGTCGTCGGTGACGTCACTACGATCAAAATGTTTCAAAAGTGAAATGCGCAACGTGTGCGCAATGAGTAATGCGCCGATTTTTTCATGATTCACCCGGAACATCTTCCTGGGTCAGTTGACATTCGGGTATTTGTGTTGGAAACCTTTTTATAAAACAACATGAAGGGCTATTATGGGATTGGAATATATAAATAGTAGTGCAGCAGAATAGAAAAGAGTTTCGTATGGTCCCTCTGGTGTCCCACAACTGAGTAGTATGGGAGAAGGATGTGTGGAAGGATAAAGTTAAACTAATGAATGCATAAATGAATGAGTGAATGAATGAATGAATGAATGAATGAATGAAGAAATGAATGAATGAAGGAATGAATGAATGAATGAATATATGGGTGGATGGATGAATAATTGACTGATTGATTCTGACTGATTGATTGATTGATTGATTGGTTGGTTGATTGATCGATTGAATGTATGTATGTATGTACGAGTGTACATAAATGCAGAAAAAAACTGAAGTTATTGATCAAAAGTATTATCAAGGAAAGACCGCTACGGTTTACCGCAATTAGTCAAAGAAAGAGAAAGAAGCAAACAAAGCGCGAAGGTGGAGCAGCCGATTGCTCATCACTGGCGTCGACTTATACCTCGTAGGTTGGGCTTTAACAGACCTAAGTAGGATAATCAGGGCCTAACAAAAAGAGCACAAAAACATGTACCTTCGACCGCAGCGATAAATCCGAAAAACACGGAGAAAGGAGAAAATACGAGGGGGAGAATTTCCAAAACGCGGCGTGAAATTTTGATAGGATTACGTTAAATCAGAACAACCTGTTGTTGTAACTTCGAATTGTTTTTCTATCCAAATCTACTGATAAAAGAAAGCCAGTGGAGAGTGGAGTGGGAAGGGGGGGAAGAGAGAGGAGGGCAGAAACGGATAATGAAAGTTCCAAAATTTGCCTACTTGAGATGAAAAATTATGAAATAATATTGTGAAACTCGAAACCAGCTTTCTAAAAGATTCGCGGGGGTGAAGCTGTTACATATACCCTTTTTTGATTACAAGGTTATAACTTCACTGGCAGACCATAACAAGCTTCAAAATTTTTATCAAAGATTGCCTGACACTAGGCTCCTTCATTTGCAAATTTTTTGTCTTTTTCTCCCAAAAAAAATAATTCCCGCACTAGTATCTATGTATCTATGAGTATTCCATTGATTATAGTCGCATCGAATGCTTATACATACGTTCAATGAAAAAGCTGGACACTGTGCAAATATGCTTTGTATACAAAGCAATAACAAATTTATGACACCTAAACCATATTTACATTTCGTAATGGTTTCCCTGAGCAAGATGAGGATCGTAGAAGGAAGAATGTAATAATTCACGAGACGAAACACAGTGGCAAGAATGTGGGGAACGCGTTAAAGTGATTGGAAATGGAAATAGAATTTTTGTTCCATAATCTGGCAGATATTTGAAATTACGTCTAATCTTTTTCTGTTCCTTCCCTTATGAAAGAGTGCGATTTTTTTAAAAGAAACTTTGAAAACTACTGGTTTAACCATGAAAGGAATCGGATCAAGAGGCTATACAGACAAAGAAGCGTGGAAGAATATTGCATAAATTATGATAAAAAACGATGACGAAATTCCTGCAGCGAAAATGTGAGAAGGAAATAAAATATTATTGCAAGCATAAGAAGAGCCTGGCATATTCCCGAAGCAAATATCAAACAGATAAGAAAGTGATACGGAGGAAAGGTGACATTAAGAGCTGATAAAGGAAGCTTAGACAGATTTTAAAATACAAAAATGATATAAAATTCTACAAAAATAGTGGCAATCTGCGTCTTAAAATTATCCAAAAAATCTCTAATTAATGTAAACCCGCCAGTATACGTACCCGAACTGCACTAAAGCTCCCCTCTACCCCCCTCCCCCTTTCCCCCTCCACGTCAAATTCTCACTGGTCCGGCTAACATTGATTCACAAGTCAGTAAGAGACAGTAAAGCGTGGGAAGCTCTTGAATATCGTTGACGTTTTTATATTCTGGTCGTCTAGCAGTGCAGAATGCGATCGCGGTGATAAGTGATTCTCTCAATGACGACTCTTCAATTCTTATCGATTTTGTACTTTTTGTACTTTATGGATATGAGCCAGGAATAAATTTTTACACTAGTACAAAACCTCTAAATAGTAAAAGCCTCTTATTCAGAATTTCAAATTTTCCTACTTTGTTTATTCGTTCTAATGCTCAAGAACACGTAAGAGGCTAATAAGGTAAAATCAAAGCCTATCAATATCCCATCGTTCTAAATACAGGGCTTTAGCTTCTTAAAAGAAAAACTTCATTTTATATTTGCAAATGATCATCTATAGGTTTTCACAAAATAATCTTTATGTTTATTATGAACAAATTCAATAAAACACTTGACACTAACCAATATGTTCAGAAAAAGAAGATGAAGCCTGACAGTAAAATTTTATGAAATTCGTATCAGAAGTACTATTGAGGCAGAAGCGAAAATGAGTCAGTCACGATTTCGGACGATAATGAAACATTGGACGATCAGACTTCAACACATTCATTCGCAACGAAGTATGTGGCACTTTGCACTAAAAAAAGATGGTTTTCATTTTGAAGTGGACTGAACTAATGAAAGCCAGTCTGTACAAAAGGGTTTGTTTCAAAATAAATCTGTAGAAATAGTGCTAACCCGCTTCAAAAAGGTGGACTTCTGTGCAATCACAATGTGAAAAAATTTGCTCCTAATGAGAAAATGTTGCACTTCATACGGAAGAACAATAATTTTATCTAATTAAAATTTTTACTCAGTAATGGCGAAGTAATCCAACTAGAGCTAAATGAACTTGCGAATTCATTAAGAATGAGTCATTAAAAGTATTGTCTAATGGATCACACTGAAAAGCTACCTTTAGAGTTGTTGTAGAGCATAGAAAGTCAGGGACTGGTTTACTTTATCAAGTGGGACAATAAAGAGGATGTAAACCATTTTATTGACCTTTCTACAGGCTTTATATGCGTGCAAGAGGAGGCAAATCAATCTAAGCCTAGGTCTTTGATCATTGTATGTTATTAAACTTTGAAAAGGAACAGATTTACGAAAAAGAACATCTACAGCTCGGAGTGATGGACTATCCAAAACACAGGCTCGAATACCTGATTTAAGGATTATGACAAATAAAGCCTAATCTAGATATAAACGATAATTAGAAAAGATTTTGATATACACTCAAAGTAGATTAGATGAACAACTATAAAATTGAATTATTTTTCAGAGTTAAGATTCTTACGTAAATCACTTATTAAGAAAGAGAGTCAAATTTATTCAGATAATCCCAGATATAAATGAAATTCAGGAAAAGTCTATCAGATATGCAAACATAACAAGCTCAGTGGGAGCGTGGAAATTCTAGAAAATTCCGCAATTAACGAGAAATACCAATATGATCTACAACTGTAGTAGTTTTTAGAAAGGGAAGAAGTACATGAAGGTAAAATGTCTTGAAGTACTAGCCTATAAGTTCACTGCGTTTACAAATGAGACTGGCACTTCCTAAAAAAATCTAATATTGCGATCCTCAATTGTCATTTCAATTGTGGTTAGAAAAACATTGTTAAGCTTCGCACTTTTATTGGCTTGGCAGGAACGAAATCAATAAATCGGTGGTTCGTCGTTGGTGCTGGTTGAACAGCAAAAGCATCAACGCCCCGAACGATGCCGATGGAGAGCACAAACATTGTGGTTTAATGAGCGAGACAGCCAATGACAGCAACGGTAGCAGTAGGGGGCGAAAAAGCGCAAATTTTGGGCCCTAGTACTCCCCCCGCCTGGCCTTCACTTCCCCAAAGTTTTTTCTCACCCTTTCAGCGCGGAAAATGAAGATACTCTTAGCACGAACGCGCGTAGCCAGACGGGAAAGGTTATCCAAGCACATCTCGCCGTCGCACATACCGT